GGCTCTCTCAGGAGGCAGGTAAGGCTGCTGTGATGATGCTAAGATTCGGCAGTGGTCCATTATCAGCCCTCTCTCCTTAAGGCCTCAGTCTCCGTTGGTGACCATCACCTGGGCCTACTATTTGGGGTTTTTGCTTCCCTCTACGGGTCCCACACTGGAGCTGTAGTTTGGGGCATAGTTGTCAATGTGATAGACAGCTGTGAGCACTGAGTCAAGCAGAGTGCTCAGGCACTCTAAAGAGCAGGCTTTGGCCTCAGAAGCAAAGGTGGCCATGGTGTTGAGGCAAAGGGTCATGTGGCCCCTCCCTGAGTGGGTACCTGGTTTACAGCAGGGAGATGGGTGCATTCCAGCCCCTCTATCCCACTGTGGGCTCAGACAGTATACTCTTCTTCTGTTCAGGAGAACCGCCGTCGGGCCAAAGAGGAAGCTTCTGCCATGGAGGAGGAGATGGCACTGGCCGAGGAGCAGCTACGAGCCCGGCGACAGGAACAGGAAAAGCGCAGCCCCCTGTGCAGCGTCAGGTGAGCTCCCCCTAGGGGGCTGCCAGAGTACCCTCACAGGCTCCCCCTGGTGGAGTGTGTGTTTCCAGTCTCGGATGCAGGGTCATGATGCAGGAGAAGTTGCGTGAGGGGTTAAGTGGCTGATGGGAGCTGAAAGCATATGGGTGGTCCTGTGGGGTGGGGGTGTGGCAGACACACATCCTCTGTCATGTGTGCTCGGGTGCAGGGGGGTCTCGTGCCGCAGCTTTACTGACAAGCTAGGAACTTGGAAAGCACAGTTGGGGTGGGGTTGGGGGAACCTTGGGCTTAATTTTCTTTGGTTCTGGAGAGGTGAGTGGACGTTCCCCTCCCAGCTGACCAAGCTGGGGGACAGGAAGGGAGTTAACAAATCTCTGATCACATTCCTTAGTGGTGATCAGAACGATGGGGCTCCCGTGATCTTACTCGTCTGCTTCTCATCAGAAATGGAGCAGGCCGGATCAGCCTGGCTCAGGTGATTCATCTGACTGTGCCTTTGGTGGGAATGAGGAGCCAGGGTCTCCTCACCTCTTTTCCTGTGTCTCTAGGTCTACAAAGATCTACACTCCAGGTCGGAAAGAGCAAGGGGAACCCATGACCCCTCGCCGTACCCCAGCCCGCTTTGGGCTGTGAGCTGAGCTGCTCTGGGAGAGGATGGGAGCCAGCTACTGTCCTGAGCCCTCTGTTCTCAGCCTCCACACTAAGCCCCCCATCTGTATACTTTCATCCGTATACATCTGCTTGTGGCCTTGGGGGATGTCCCTGCCGAGGAAGGAGGCATTCCTTGTGCCACACTTGGAAGGGCGCTGCTGTCTGGCAGAGCAGCCGAGATGCTGCTGGAGTGAGAGGTGGCCGGACCCGGTGTCTCCACATGAGCTGCCTTCGGGAGGCTGAGTGACGGATGTGAGCATGGCTTTTTTAATCCTTGTGGGAAGCAGCAGAAGAGACCGAGAGGAAATTATAATTTGGATATTATTTAGAATTTGGAGATAAATCTATTGTTTGTAAAATGCTGTTGTGCTCTGTTTCTCATTTCCTCACTGCCCTAGTCACAGAAGAGGAGGGGCAGACCCTACCTGACTTCCCTTGGTAGATCCTCACTTCCAGGCAATGCTCCCTGCATGGGTGGGAGGGCAGCACACAGGTGACAGGGAAGGAGACCTGAGCATGCCCACTTGTCCGTCAGTGCTGGTAGCAGGGCCAGACAGTGGGAGGAGATGAGCAGATACTGGGGTGGTTCCGAATAGTAGGACCCAATACTGTGCAGGGATGAGGACTGTGCATTGGCTACAACATAGCATCCAGTATTGCGTACTGATTTTCATGTGAACGATGAGTCCTTACTCTGGAATCACTAGTCTTGTTTCACAGCCTGTTTATGTGTGTGGAGGTGGCTCCTTGGGTATGTGCCCCTTTGTGCTAGCATGGTTCTTACTTCGTGATTGCCCGCAGTTGTGCTTCTGGTGGTATGCTATTTGGGACTGAGTCACCTGGAGGATTGAGGGTCATTGGCCTCTTGAGACCAGACCAGGCTCCACTGTTCCTGGGTGTGAATTTCCAGGTTATAACTCAGCTTAAGGCAAAACAGAAGTCCATTTTGTGAGTGATTTTAGAAACTGTTCCTTTTCCCTGTGCCATCCTTTATCGGACATGCAGGTGAGAATGGGACTTCTCATGCTTTTGGAGTGAAGAGAGCTCCCAGCTGCCTGGCGGGAAAGTCTAGTGGTGGCATCAGGTCGGGGGAGGAGAGCCTGGCTGCTTAGACTCAGGCTTGGGATGCAACACAAGAGGAAAATGATTGAGGTCCCAGTAAACAATTTTCGTGTTAATAAGCTGTAACCTTGGTCACAAACTCGCCTTCAGGTCTCTGAGATGAGAAAATGGAGGCCAGAGAAGTTATGGAAACTGGTCAAGTGCAGCCTTCTCATTTAAAAGCTAAGAGCATCTGGTGAGGGACACTTGACACACAGAGTCAGCAAGATGAGTGAGGTGGCGCCCCAGCTAGTGTTGGTATTGGGGTTTCTGCCTAGGGGTCTGCCAGCACCTGTCTTTCCATTCAGTTCCTCCTTAAATTCCTTCCTGCTCTCACTGTCTTGGAATCTCACTGTCTTTTCCTCAGAGTATAACTAGTTCTTGTTCTAGTGGTGCAAAAGGATTTCTGTGACAACAGCCCCGTGGTCTTTTCCAAAGTGGATTCACAAGTCTGGTTTGATGCTTCCAGACTTCCTGGTGTGAGGAAACGGGACGGTCTCTCCAGGAGACCACCCTGTTTGTGGGACTTGGGAGATTTTACTCTCAGTTCACTTTCGTTTAACCTTTAAGTGCCTGGCTGGTGGGCACAGGGTATTTAGACACTGGAAGTGTCAGCATTTGCGGGTCTGAGGTTGAGGGAGCTGGCACCCTTGTCATAGCAGGAAGCCACTCTTCAATGTGAGCTGCACAGAGGGGGATCCAAAGGCAAGTTCACATGTGGCAGAGTGATGGCTCCAGGAGCTGCCCCCTTTCAGCAAGAGAGGGACGAGGAACTTTAGTGAGGTGGGCTGGGGGGAGGAGAGCGGGGGTCTGAGGTTTGCTCCGGATTTCTTGAGCTCAGGGGGAGAAGCATTATATCCGGGTTTATAGAAGATCTGCCACAAAAAAAGATTCAGCTGGCTCCAGTTCTCAGAGTCTGAGAGCACATCCGCCCACTGGGTGGTTGAAGCATTTGGCTAAGTCCCATCTCAGCAAACCCACACCCAGTGCTGTCCAGTCGATTCTGACTCACAGTGACCTCTACTGGGCAGAGTAGGGCTGCTTCATAGGGTCTTCGAGGTGGTAACCTTAAGGAAGCCAACTGCCACTTCTTCCTCCCATGAAGCAGTTGGTGGCATCAAACCATTGACCTTTTGGTTAGCAGCCAAATGCTTTCACCACTGTACCACCTGGGCTGTCTCATAGCCTTTTCTTTTTAATACATACTGTTCAAACTATATTTTGGCAATTCTTACAGCATCTTAGGCAGGCAACACCTTGCTTCCTTGCTCTTTCTCCTGTCTCCTACAAGCTGTGGTCGTTGTTCTGGCTTCGTTACTGCTTTGCTCGTATGTATCTCACTACCTGTTTTGCTCTGACGCCATCACTCCACAGGACACGTTTGTAAACATCCACAGGTTTTCAACTATCCAGGTAGTGCCACTTGGACCAACATATCTGAACCCTTTTTGTAAATTACAGAGACCAGTCCCTTCAGCCTTCTCAGAATCGTTGTCTTCTCTAGAAAATCTACCCATATTCTGAACCCAAGGGGAGAACACCGTCCAAAAAGCATAAACGACTGTCACAAGAACTCCCAGAAACACTGCTCACTCTCCTCACACCACATTTCTGGAGAACTTGTCCTTCCCATGTCCTGGCAGTGGCATCCTATGTAACATGTAGCTGCTAGCAGTGGTTTTTTTTGGTTTTTACTTGGCCAGGGAGGGAAGGCAAGACTACGTAAGAATCATTGACAACTGCTGATGTGGTCTCCCTAGTGTCTCAGAAGTGCAAACTCTCCTTTCTCTTACTTTACTCTAAATTTCCTACAGATGAGCATATAAACTCTCGACATGTACTCAGTTTAACAAAATCCTACTACCATAAAATAGTTTAGTGGTCCTTGGAGTTTGTTGTAATGGGATTTTACTTGTTTTGGGCTGGCTGGGGAAAAACAATTATGAAAAAGAGGAGAGATGACTGAACATGGTGACCAGGGAGAAGGCAGATGGCTCTCTATCGCTCCCATTTGGAAATGCATTATTTATTTCTCTTCCTTTCGTTTGGGTCTCAGGATTATCTTCCTTTCTGAGGTTTTTATAATTTAAAAAAATTACAGACAGAGATAGAGAAAAAAGAGCAAATCATCTCTTGTTGGTTTAAATACAAATTCAGATAATTTAGAAGCTTGCTGGACAGGGAGTTAGTTATACCCCAAACCAAACCCACTGCTGTTGCCAATTCTGACTCATAGTGACCCTATAGGATAGAGTAGAAATGCTCTGTAAGGTTTCCGAGGCTCTAAATCTTTATGGGAGTGGACAGCCACATCTTTCTCCCAAGAAGTGACTGGTGTGCTTGAACTGCTGGCTTTGCGGCTAGCGCCCAACTCTTCACCAACTACTCCACTAGGACTCCAGCAGGGAGTTAGTTATAGCTGCCCTATATAAGTAACCGTATATAAGTCAAAGGGAACATGTTGCTGAGCACGTGAGGGGGCAGAGATGTCTGCAAGGCACCGCTGTGTGCATGTCTTTATTGTAGAGTTTGACCTGGAGATGGTAGTATGGTTCCAAGGGTTACTCCATTGCAGGAAGTGTACAAATCTCAATAAATCATCTTGCAAAGTAGGCTGGAACCCTGATATGTTCCTGTAAGTGCTGACCCAGGGTAAGAAAGAGAGATGGGAACTCGCTTGTCTTCTGGAAAAACATGCGTGGAAATGATGCTCAGAGCAAGGCAGTGGTTCTAGCAAAACGAGGAACCTGAGGGAACAGGGAAGAAATGAGTTTTCATTGGAAGGGCAAATACAAAGGTGATTTCTCAAACACTGGCATCTTGGCCAGGCAGCTCTGCCGTGGGCACCTTCTTCCCTCTGGGATGATAACAAGCTTACAGAAGGCAGGAAAAATGGCTGGCTGTAGGGGGGTAAGGTGCTTTCATGGGTTCCCACAACACATAACAGAAAGATGTCTAGTCTGTCTGTTCTCCTCTTATGGGACTCCCCCAAAAGAGACTGGGCCTGGGGATGGGTCTGAGATATGAGGCATTTGAGTATCACCCAAGGTTTTCAGATCAGAATGGGTCTTAATCCACCTCATTCTACATATGAGGAAGCCAGTATCTTTGGAGTCCAGAGTAGCTAAGCACATGATTCAAGGTCATGTAAGACCTGCTTGCTTCTGTCTATTTGAATTTCTGATCCAGTGATCTTTTAAAAACAAAATCATGCTTTTGTAAATGTTTGACATATGGGAGACATGGGAAAACATGACAGTAGACAAAGACAAGTCGGGGACGTACCTGAGCAGTGGGGCATCCCCACTAATTTGTTGTCCATTCTTTGGCCCAAGTCCTGGGGCATACCCCTCCAGCCCATCGCCCCGCACACTTTCCTCTCCCTTTGTAAGGGCTCCATTCTGCTCAGGAAGCCTAGGGGTTTGCTGCATAATTTTGGTTGCCCTACATTCAACTTCTTCTCCTCTATCTCACTCTTTAGCTTCTTGTTTTCCTGCTGCAGATGTACCATCACATTGTGGAGGTGGCTGTGGGAAGAGAGGGAAGGGTGGGTGGGTGTTGGGTTTGCTTTATCTGCTGGGAAGGCATAAAGGTGTCACAGGAAAGAGGATCCTACATGCCCAATTCCTTCCAGAGCTGGAGCCCTGTTACCGCTTGGATGATGTCACCCAAAGACATAGGCTGAAGTCCTAAATCTTGTTACCTGTGAACTGAGCTTTGTTTGGAAACAGGGTCTTTGGAAGATCTTATCAGTTAACATGAGGTCCTACTGGGGTAGGGTGAGTCCTAATCTGACCAAAGTGCTGTCCTTATAAAAGAGGAAAGACTCACAGAGAAAGACAGTTACCTTGAAGATGTATCTAGGACTACCAGAAGCTGAGAGAGAAGCAGCTTCCCCTGGAGACTCTGGAAACAACATGATACCCTGAATTTGGACAACTAGTCTCCAGAACTGTGAGACCCCCAATTTGTGTTCTTTTGTTACAGCAGCCCTAGGAAACAAACTCACAAAGTCTGTGTGTCCACTGGAAGAAGACCAGGCCTGGCTGGGCTCAACCCAGAACTAGAACTCCTGGTCCATCACCTTTGTGCCTAGTTTGAATCTGCTAAGCGGTGTCATTTAAGCTTGATCTGCTTGCTGGGGTTAATAGGTAGTTGTTAAGTGCCGTCAAGTCAGTTCTGACTCAGCTACCCTGTATTGGGTTTCCAAGGAGCAGCTGGTGTGTTTGAACTGCCGATCATGTGGTTCACAGTCCAGTGATGATCCTATAGTGCCATGAGGATCCATTTATACAAATGATATAAACTTGACTGGAAGAACCAGGCAGCCGGTATGAACCATGACTCTAATGATGAATCCTTGGCTGTTCACTGCTGTGCCTCGGCAACACTGTCACCCAGTTCTGATGCTGAAGCCACTTGCCCTATGCTCAGGGGTTGGGAATGCAGGCGATTCCGGCTCTTGGGAGCTTGGAAAAATGACTTACCCCTATTTTATGGATGACACAGAGTTTGCAATGTAGGGGCTGGGGAAGAAAATTTAGCATGTTTCCCAATGACTCGATAAATTAATATCAATAATCATATTCCCCAAACCAGAGTTTAGAGTATGGTGGACCATAATGGGCTATGGGTGCAGACATCTTGGGTGTTGGAATGCTCTGCCTCTGTCACTTGCTAGTTGTGAGATGAGTAGTTGTATAGATTTCAGTTTCTCTCCTCTGTAAGTGGAAATATAACCTTATCAAATTTATTCAATAAATTAGTACGTGTGTAGCACTTAGAACAGTGCCTAGCCTATGGTAAACAAGAAATATTAGTTGCACTATTGTGATTATTATGGAGTCCTGGTGCGGCGCTGTGGGTTAATGCACTGGACTACAAAGTCGTGTGAACCACAAGGTCAGTGGGTCAAGCTCACCAGCTGCTCCTTAAAAACCCTATACAGGGTTGCTATGGGTCAGAACTGACCCGACTGCACTTAACAACAACAAATTACTATTATTATTAAGAGATTACTATGATTACTGTAAGAGGTTCAAACAGCCTCTAGAGTGAGCTCTCTGTGAGACAATTTTCTGGAAGTTCGGGGTTCTCTGCTATCTTCAGATTCTAACACATTCCAGGGGACTAAGAAAGAACAGGGGACTAGGAAAAGACGTATTTTTTTAAAAGTTAGACTCAGCGCTTCCGTACTAGTGAAGAAGTAAGTTCTTGGTGTTTTCTAGAGTAAATCAAACCAAGGCAGCTCAGCTCAGCCTCTTCTCTGGCTTTCTCTCTTATTGTTGGCAAACGTAGCTGGCTTTGAAGCCATCCCTGACTCAGTTGCCTCTCCAGGTGCTAATGAGCCTGGAGATAGAGCCGAAGCCACTCTCCAGTGCCACGCGGAGCAGCATCCTCAGGGACCTCAGTCCATACCCTATGCCCTGCCCTCTCCCATCCCTGACCTTCTCACTTCCAATGATCTGTCCTCCACTCCAACTCAGTCACCCCTCCAAAGGCGAAGATCTAGAACAGCTTTCCAACTAAAGTTCCATAATGGGTTACAGGTGTGCTGAGACACTGACACCCTCAGGCCTTGGGGCAGCCTCTAATCAGCTTTGTCATGAGTCACCCCACCCCAGACCCTCCCAGGGTGCCTACAAATTTGGCCATTTTCTAAGTGTGCTCTTTTGGGAAGTACTTCCCTAAAGCTTGTTAAGATTACCACCAATGAAATCTTCATTTTCAATTCATATCTTTACCTCAGACTTTCATCTCATCCCCATACTTTACTCCCAGCTGACCCAGTTTTGACTATGCAGTTGAAGCAAGACCACAAGGTCTGAAAGTGCAGCTTCAAGTAGAAGGAATCTAGGGTCCTGAATGACCATAGGGAGCAGAGAACTCCTGTCCATGAAGACATAAAGTTCTATCCTTCTTCATTTGGGATGCTCTTTGTTACAGCTAATTAGCCCTACCTTCCAGTGTCTGGTCCCTTTGTAGCGTTCTTAACCTTTGGAAGTAACACTAGGTGAGAGTGGGAAGGACACAGTTTGAGGCAGAATCCTTGCTGAGCACATACCCAACAAAGCCAGCCCTGGCTCCTTGCTAAGCCCTTCCTCGTAGGTCCCAAGAGGCAGCCAGGGCCAGGGGAGTGTGGGCTGACTTACTCTTTTTCACCAGTCAGTTTGGCGATGTATTTGACCTGTTCACGGAGCTTGTTTCCTAGTTTCTCATTGGCGATCCTGTAAGAAAATGCACAAAAGAGCAGCCAGTTTCTAAACCTGTGAGTTAGCCCAGGCTGGCTGAGCGGTACACTGTTGTACCCATTCATCATCCTGCCTCAGGGTTGGAGTTTTCTTAGCACCTGGCGATTGATTTGTTGCTGTTAAGTGTGGTCAAGTTGATTCCAACTCATAGAGACCTTGTACAGTGTTTCCAAGTTGTAGGGTTTGAACATTTAGCCTTGTAGTTAGCAGTCTAGTGCTTAACCTATATAGAGAGCCACACCAGGATTCATGGCAATTGATGTTATTGTTAAGTGCTGTCGAGTCAGTTCCAACTCACAGCAACCCTGTATAGGGTTTCCGAGGAGCGGCTGGTGAGTTTGAACCACTGACCTTGCAGTTTTGTAAAATCAAGTTAATTTCTAGGTGAGTTCAAGGGGTCCAGTCTGTGACTCATGGCTATGCATCCCTTCCCTCTTGGGGAGTGTGGTCCATTTTGAAGTCAGCAAGGACTTCCAGAGTTGAGCTGGTCTCCACCTTATTCCAGATCCTTAGGTGTGGGCTGAGACAGGGTCAGTTTCCCTAGAGGGCAGGGTTCATGTGTATGTGATACTTCTCCAGTACACACACGGAGGTGCGTCTCTACCTCAGCCCAGGATGTGGCTCCTTACAGTTTCCTTCCTTACTTACTTCTGCTCTTTGGCCCACTGTTCCATGTTGTTTATAATCTTTTCATTCTCTCTGTGCATTCTACAGTTTTCCTTGGGCACAGAGTGCTGGGTGGATCGAAGGACTTCTGCCTGGGGTATGCAACAGGGCTTCAGGACCATCAGAAAGAGAGCTGGTTAGGTGGGAACACAGGCCCATCACTCCCCTACTCCCCTCTGGGTATCTTTTGTCCTTGGAAGAGGAGAAAAACCGACTTTATATCTATCCCATAGGCCTGAGCAGAAGCTGTCAGCCCAGGATCCCCACCCACAGCCTGGCAGGTTAGTTCACACAAAGGCAACACGCCTGAGGAGGCACCATTTGTATCAGAGACAGTAGATTTCCAGGCCAATGGCATTCAAGTTCCCACTTTTCAAAAAGCAGCATGCTAAGCGAATTTTCTAACAGATGGAAGAAAACTATCTGAGGCCCTGTAGCCATATCAAGATGTCCTGAGGCCCCCTGACCCTTGAAGCTGGAGACAGGGGTAAGCCCAGATGTCTCTGAAAATTTTACTGCTGCTAAAAGTATGGGGACTCTGGAAGGGGTGACCAGTGGATTCTCTAAGTCAGGAGAGGCTTGCTTACCTGACGGACAGTTGGTACCACTTTCTTTTCGGGACCAGGGTATTTGCTCTGTGGGATATCTCTCTGCCAACAAAGCCACAGGTAGACAGTTGTATTGAGACAGCTGCTGAGGGCCAGACACTGCTTCGTGCTAAATACAGGGAGGGTGGGGTGTCCCTTCCCAGCTCCTCGGGCTGTGGGACACCCGGGAGGTGGATGCCCCGGGAGTCCACACCTCATCTTCCAGGAGTTTCTCTTTCAGAGCGGCCATTTCCACCTGGAACCCCATGAGCTGCTCCTCCTTGGCTGCCAGCATCTTGAGGTCACTCTTGTGCTGTCTCTGCCATTGTAGCACCTGGCTGGTCATCTCCTCCAGCTTCTTGTCGAAGATGTGCACCTGCTTAGGTGCAAAGTGAGGAGAGAAATCCCACCTTGCCACTCAGGACCCCAGAGGAACCATGACAAGGCCAGAAGGTTCTTTCTCAACCTTAGGAGAATCTTTCAAAAAAAAACAACAAAAACCCAAACAAACCCCATTCCCACTGTCATTGAGGGGGCACGGTGGCTCTGTAGGATAAGCATTAGACTGCAAACCACAAGATTGGCAGTTTTAAGCCCACCACCACTCTGCAGGAGAAAGATAAAATTTTCTGTCCTAGTATGGTACTGTAGGATCAGCACTGGACTGTTAACCACAAGGTCATTAGTTGAAACCCACCAGCCGCTCCTTGGAAATCTTTGACAGCACATAGCAAGCTCCCACACAGCTTTACAGCCACTGAAATGCTACACAAGATTGCTGAGTCAGAACTAACTCAATGGCACCTGAGAACACCAGTCATTAAGTGGATCCTGACTCACATTGGCCCTGTTTTTGTTGTTAAGTGAAGTCGAGATGGTTCCAACCCATAGCAACCCTGTACAAGGTTTCTGAGGAGTGGCTAGTGAGTCTGAACCGCCAACCTTGTGGTTCAAACCGACCTTGTGATCCAGTGCGTATCCTACAGTGCCAAAGAGTAGAACTCCAGTTTCTGAAGCAATCAATTACCATAGAAGCAGATGGCCTCATTTTTCTCCTGTAGAGCGGCTGGTGGGTTTGAAGCACCAACTTTCAGTTAGAAGTTCAACGCTTGGAAAATCTTTGTTGTTAAGTGCTGTTGAGTCTGTTCTGTATAGGGTTCCCAAGGAGCAGCTGGTAGGTTTGAAACCTCAACTTTGTGGTTAGCAGTTCAGGGTTTATCCTCTAGTGCCACACTAGGACAGGAATTTTATTTCCGACGACCAGCAGAGGGCAACCCTTCCCCATGATCTTCAACTAAGGCATACAAGGGTGGAGGGAGCCCATTTGGTGGAATATAGTTCTGAGAACAAGAGACATCTTTGGGGGCTGCCTCGGAAGGGTGCGCACCTCTAGCTCACTCTGTTGGTGGAAACCCTGGAGTTTTTTTAATTCCATGTTGAGCTTTTTCATTCTCTCCTCATAAGCAGTGATTTCTTCTTCCAGCTGAGTTTTCCTCTCTTGGGTCTGCATTAGACTTCGATGCAGATCCTTGGACTCTGTGGCTGCTTGATTGAGCTTCCGGTAAAGACAAAGGGGATGAGAGCGCTGGCAGAGCCCTTTGGCTTTCTCTGTTGTGTCCTTAATGGAGAAGGTTCCGGGTCCGCCCCCAGCCCTCTGCCCAGGAGGTGGCACCGTGTCCCAGAGAGGGGTGGGAGAAGACTGGCATCATTGTCTCCCCACCCCCCCGACCCCCGGCTCACACACACACACACACACACACACTTTATGTACTCTTCCAGTCCTGGAGCTTTGTTAACCAGGCAGGTCATCTAGGTCCCAGGGATTTTGATTTACCCATGAGTAGAAAGCTTCTTATACTTGACCTCCATTTTCCTCCTCCCACCCCCCAAGAGCTCACCAAGAAGCATGGTCTCTCTGGAGTGTAATCCCCAATTCATGGAAGAGTTTGTAGATTTGAGACCACCCTGGGGACAGCCAGCTGACCAGGACACCCTTCCTACATTCTGATTATACCCTCACACTTCTCTGCAGAACAGCCCTGAAGTGAGAGGTGGCCCCCACCTTCTCCAGGGCACGAGTCAGGTCCTCTTGGCAGGTGCTGGCCTTGAGGGCTAGCTCCTCGTAGGCATCCTTACTGACCATGCTCTGCAGACACTGCTTCTCTCTCTGTATGGCCTTCTCCAGCTGGGCCTGCAGGTTCAGGATGGCCTCCTGCTGCTGGGAGAGCTGTGGGGAAGGAACATCACTGCCACAGGGCCAGCTGTGGCCACAAAGGCATCTCTGCAACACAGACACAACCTGTTCTCTCCGTACTAAACTGCAGAGCAGCTGTATGACCCCCAAGCACTGGGCTTTGCAGCCTTTCATAGAGATCCCAAATCCAATTCTAGGTGGTGTTGGGTGTTATTAAGCACAGGCAAGTCGGTTACGACTCACAGAGACCCTGTAGAGTTTCTGAGGATTGGCTGGTTTGAACGGCCAACCTTGCAGTTAGCAGTCTAGTACTTACCCTACAGCACCACTTAGTAATTCCAGGACTTCAATCCTAGGTTTGGAGAGGTGATATTTCGCTGCCTTTGTGCCTTTTGTGTTTCACTTAGTCCCTAACATATTCCTAACACTTGATTTGTCATGCAGGCAGGCACCCTGAACGTCTTGTTCTTCACAGTAATCCCACCACTTTTAACTCAGGGAATGGCACATAACAGGTACTCAGTAAATGCTCAAAGGACTCCGGGTGCAGCACTGGACTGCAAACCACAAGGTCTGCAGTTCAAGTCAACCAACTACTCCTTGGAAACCCTGTAAGGGGTGGTTATGAGTCAGAACCAACTCTACAGCAGTAACGACAACAAAAATGCTAAAAACTTCTTTGGGGACTGAATGAAACATTGCACTGGGCAATGTCTGGAGTTAGGGATGAATTGAATATATTAGTTTTGAATCCAATAAATATTTTCGGAATTTAAGTGTCTTTAAAAACTTAAGTCTGTTTTACATTTAATAATAAAGATTCATGGGATAGTTAAACAGAGATCAGGAGCCAGAGGGTTTGGGTTGAGATCTTTCTTCTGTCACTTATATAATTTTTCTAAGCCTCAGTTTCCTCATCTACAAACTAGAATGATTTCAACTGCTTCACAGAGTTCTTGTAAGGATCCAATGAAATTATGCATGTAAAAAGGGCTTTGTAAGGTATAAGTCACCATGTAACTTTAGTTACCATCTTGAGTAATTCTCAGAAACCCTATATAGGGTCACTGTGAGTGGGAACTGAATTGATGGCAGTGGGTTTGGTTTTTGGTTATGCTGAGCAGTTTCTTGTTATTCAGTGCCATCGAGTCAGTTCCGACCATAGCGACCCTGTATAGGGTTTCCAAGAAGCGGCTGGTGGGTTTGAACCGCCAACCTTGTAGTTTGCAGTTCAGTGCTTACCCTATACCAACAGCAATACACACCATGTTGTTAAATACTTAGCTATAGGATAAGGGTCTGCTTCTAAGCCTGGAAGCAGGAGGGAGACCTTAGAAGGTCATATGTCTGACTTGTTTTTTTCTATTCTAGCAAACCTGCATTCTCATGTGGCCATAGACACAGACACACAATTTTGGGGGATTTTATTGCTTTTCCCCCAGGAACTTCTCAGAGCTTGAGGTTTATTACTTTTTTAGATAGACATTTGAGTTTCTTTGGCCCTAGGAATCAGTAAGATGAAAATGTTAGATTAGGCGTCTGACCCTACATTTTCCTCAGGATGAATTTATTCCTAAGGATGAAATAATGTGGTGTTCTAGGAACAGAATACAGAAAGAGACCATTTACTAAGATACTACATGTGTTTCTTGCCCAGAAACAAATGGCATGTATTCAGCAGAGGAAGTATTACTATTTGTGATGAGGAAACAAGAGAACAAGCAGCATAACTAGAAAATCCAGGTTCAGGTTCAACACCCCCAAACCCAAACCCAAGTCCTTGTGGTGCTGCAGGTTAATGTGCTGGATACAGTTTGAACCTCAAGGTCAACAGTTCAAGCTCACCAGTCGCTCCTTGGAAACCCTATACAGGGTAGCTGAGTTGGAACCAACTTGACGGCACTTAATAACAACAACAAATCTTCATGGGAGCAGAAAGCCTCATCTTCCATCTGTGGAGCAGCTGGTGGGTTTGAACTGCTGACCTATGGTTAGCAGTTCAGTGCTTACTCCACAGCATCACCAGGGCTCCTGCGTTTATCCCATCACCTATTAATCATCTATAAACGAGGGTTGACGCAGTACTGTATATTTTGTTGGCAGTGAAGCATATAGAAGGCATATCAAAGATTGAGCAGACTGTCAATGAAAGAGAACGGAATTTAAGCACAGTGATACAGGACAGATGCCATTCGGTCAGTTTCCTTACTTGTGTAACAAAGAATAGTCATTTTTCCTTCTATGCTCTTTTTGTGCTTTAGGTCTATTTTTGGAAGCATTCCCTAACAAATTGCCTTAAACACTGGGCTCACTTGACATTGATCTAATAAGCAAAGGAAGGGTTGATGCCAAAGCCCAGATAGTTTGGGGACTCCACTACATGTTAAAGAAAACCTTGTTGGTTTCTGTAAAACATGTGAAGGAAACTTATTTTTGATTCAGCAGCTGGGTACTGACAGGTCACCCTACTTTAAAGAGAGGGGTGGAGCTGAAGGGGCCACAGGGGGCAAAGCTGACTGGGTAGTGAGTTGTAGTTCTCTGGTGGGAAAGAAACAGATGCAAACTTAGGACAGCATTACAGGGTTCAAGTTTCCCACCCTCTGGGGCGTTCGTCTACTCACCTCTTTATTTAGCTCTTGGACCATTTGTTGGGTGTTGTTGTGTTTGCTGACAGAAGTATCTAGTTGTGTAGAATAATGCAACAGCTCAATTTGGAGATTTTCCTTTTCTTCCTCCAACTTCCTCAAGCTCTCTTTAGACTGCTCCCGCATTAAAGAACAAAGCCCAGAAAACAGGTGTTACCGGCTGACTCCTATCTCCTCATACCCAGGGGCCATCCTCTATCCTGCAGAACCACAGGCCTTCTTGCTCTCCTCACTCAGCTTTTATGCTGCCCCAGAATGCCCTTCCTTCTCTTTTGTTATGGGAGCCACCAAGGCCTCTGCATCCCCCCAGGCCTGACTAAGTTCTTGTTCTGCCCTGGCTTCATGACCCAGACTCTCCCCAGATTCTCTCTCTCACCATCTTATCTTTCCTTCTTTCGTCCTCTCGGAGTGACTCAATTTCTTGTTCCAGAATTTTCTCCTGTTCTTTGCTCTTTTTTAACTGCAGTCGTTTCTCCTCCAGTAACCTTTTTACCTCCTGAAGCTCATCTTCTAAATTGTCTTTGCTGGATGCATGCTCTTTGTTCTGTGAAAATAAAGAATGGGTTAAAAGAAAGTCCTTGGACTTTATAACATTTTTTTTTGGGGGGGGGAGGGGAATGTAACAATTGCATACTTGGAATGGCTACAATAAATATGAGGGCAACTCCATAGTGATATGTCATTGTTGGTGCTGAGTTGGTTCCAACATACTATCAGACCTATCTACAACAGTATGAAGCACTGCCATCCCTACAATCATCACTGCTGTTTGAGCCCAACCTAGCAGCCACTGTGTCAAGCCATCTCATTGGGGGTTTTCTTCTTTTTCACTGATCCTCTACTTTACCAAGCATAAGATCCTTCTCCAGGAACTGGTTCCTCCTGATAACATATCCAAAGTACACAAGTCAATTTATGTATAGATCCAACTCCCATGGCATCAGCTTTCTTTAATATATAACCACCAAATATTTCCACATAAGTCCTCTTTGAACACAGTTACAATAACTTAGAAAAGAACAAAAAGAATAATTAGACATCAAAGAATTTAAACTGACTGACAAGTATAGCTTTCAAATCCTAGAAAGTACAATATTGTCCTTTGAAGACCGAAGACAAGAGGAGTTGTAAGACATCAAGAATATCTACAAAAAAAAAAAAAAGAATATCTATAAGAGCCAATGATACTCAGTGAGGAAGTCCAAAATGCATTGAAAGAATTGGCAAAGAACAAGGCACCAGGAATTGATGGAATAAAAATTGAAATCTTTCAACAAAGTGAGGCAGCACAGGAGGCACTCACTCATCTCTGCCAAGAAATTTGGAAGACAACTATCTGGCTGACTGATTGGAAGAGATCCATATT